AAGTCGAGTATATAGAAAGCAAGAAGATGAAACAGAAATCCAATGGTGACCCGGAAGGAATGCTGTTGTATCGTGCAGCAAAACTCGACAAAAAGATTTGCAAGGTTCACGTGTGCCATCGTAAACCTTTCTCTTTCTCTCTCGCCTATGCTATTTTGTAATTTTTAATCACAGCGAACAGTTGCATAGTGAAAGTAAACGAGGTTGTTTCGTGGGAATCGTTTTCTAAAGGGCTGTGATTATTATGAGCGTTACTTTTTATCAAGTAAAATGCCACGATTCGGAATTCATTGTGGATATCTCATTGTGCTCGCACAAACTTTTCAACCGTAACAATAGAGAAACATTTTTATTTTTTAATTTCTCGTTTCTTCTTTCGAGGAGTTTATAACGTTTTTCAATGTAAAAACGAAACTCTGTTTACCCTAGGTCTATTGTTTGAATTTTCAACTCTGACGCGTACTCAAAAATATTATTGAATAATTAGACGCGGTAATTTCGTTTTCAAAAACGGAATCGAGTCGATAATGCTTTGTCATAAAGAAATTGAAATATATACTATTTCTCGAGCAAACACTGCTATTCAATAATAAAGGAACGTATTTCTATTTTACTATTTACGATAAAAAAAATAAGCATGCACCCAAGAAGTCGTCTTGTATAACGCAAAATATGGTTTACAGTCCCATATTTTTCGATACGGTGCGCCAGCTTATTGTGACTCGTGTATTACTAAGAAGTTGTCGCGTAAATCTTTTACGACCTACGCTTTTACGAGTCTACAGATGTACCGTGAAATAAATACCTACGTGATCCAGAAGTTATCGATCGTATTCTTTATCGAGACTCTATCATTTCATGACATTTCCCGCGAAAAATTTAAATATCCCGCGCGCTTGGTCACATGACCGGTCACGTGGTAATATTCAACAATACATCTGATACACACATGCAATAACAAACACAAAATAATTTGTAAATAATACATTTCACTCACCTCCCCATCTGATGATGGTTCCTCGTAGTCCGAATACGACTCCTTAAACACGAAGATACAATCTGACGGCTCCAATTTACGCTCATTGCCGAATTGTGTTTGTCGGTCGGTCTGTCTTACAGAAATCGTCTCCACCATGATGAAAGTTTGTCGGATCAAGTGATGGTTGGGAATGACAATTTCAACCAGAACATTCTGTAACAATATAATAAGATACAGTCTTTATTGATGTATTATATTTCAAATGTAACTAATTCTATTCATCTTAACCATTATGTTTCCTTAAAATAACTTTATCTAAAAGGTGAATGATCCGGCTGCAGCAAGGGAATTGATAAACTGTATTACTCGCGAGATATTCTCATTCATCATCGAAAGTATGAGTCTTTAAATCACGCTATTTCATTCATCCGCGCACACGTGATGCGACCACATGGCCAGATACTTATGGCTTCATTTATAGATATGAACAGCAACGTTCTTAAACGAATACGACTATGAGTATAGTATGGATCAAATTATCATTTACGTCAGTCTAATGTACCGTGCACGTGCGGTACATATTATCTCTGGCTATTTAGGTACATATATATAGAAAACGTACACGCGTTTCGTATACAGGCGTTGTTACGCATATGTACATTGACTTTGTGTCGCCAACGCATTTGTTGGTTAGATTGTCCGGCACGCGTTTCGAAATACTTCCAAACGAAACACTTTCCACCGAGCACCATTATAATTGAAGTTATAAATCGAAATATATGATCAAATTTAATAGAATACCATATAATAACATTATCGATAAGAAGATTCAAAAAATGGTGTCTGTAGGATGTGTTAGGTTAAGGCACATGTTCAAAATATTTACAACGAAGTATTTCAAACTGATAAATGAAAGTAATACAGTTGAAAACTTACTGTAATATCCGTCCAAAGTTGTATTGATCGTTGAATAAAACACCGTAATCGCATTCAAAATATGTTTATAACAAAATCAAACAAAATACGCACAGAATATATTTGTTCAACGAGAGTCCATACCTCTGGTACACCGGATTTCCGTTCGTTCTGCGCTTCTCAATTCTGATTGGCTCAAGCATGCGTCATCTGCGCAAGCGCGCTATGGTACTGCGCAGCATACCTAGTGATCTTGTATTCAGTAACTCTTCGCAGTAATCACTTGCTTTTTCTATTTATATATTTTTGTCCACCGTGTATATCACCACCAAGTTAAAAGTAAGTGTAGAGTACCTTCCTGAGGTGCGCACAACGGGTATGGTCTCTCATTGAACGAATAATAAAATATGTATTTGATTGTAAATTCTGAATAGTACTGCGATCTGTCAATAACATACATAACTAATGTTATAAAAGTTCCCGCTCATTTTCTAGCAAATTGTCAATGTTCGAATAAAAAAATACAAAATTCTTATATTTCTATGGAAGCACCATAAATTACATGCACTTTTATAACAAAAGTAAAAGATTCATAACATCTGCAATTTAAATTAATTACTTTAAGACTCCATTTTCTCAGGTTCGTCTTGTTTTGCTGTCAAAGCAAATACTTTGCCAGGTTTTAGCGTGACGTCTCCTTTACCATTTCCTTCGAATTTACAGTCGTGTAAGGCAACTTCGGATATATTATCCAACAATTCCAAGCCGCCACATTTGCTTTCCAAGTTACTTAAATATTTTCGGGTTTCAAAACGAATAGCATACTCTTTAAAATATCCCAATAAACACTTCGTTGCTACTAATTTTGCATTGTCATAAAGCTGAAAAATGACATGAACATGTTATATAAACACATATTGTTTTATAATTGTATAATTATAAAGTAAATACCTGTATACCCTCTGCGCAATTTTTAAAATTGCAGTTACTCATAAGCACTTCCCCGTTGCTATAAATAACTAAACCTGTCCCAAGACCATCAAATAACGAGTTTTCTATTATGAGTTTAGCATTAGGTAAAACCACAACTCCTAACTTCACCACGCTCTGATTTAAAGCACATATTTTACAATTAACAATCTTTGTAGTTCCAGCTCTAACTATCACAGCTGCTCTAAGGTCATCTACATCTACTGTAATATTTTCTAACAAAACCTAAAAATACGTATTTCACATGACACTTAAAATTCTGTAAATAAATATTCGGAAAAGTTGATTAAGTGCAATGTCTTACTTCACTTCCAGAAAAATCAAGTACTGATGGTACAATTTCAGTATCTTTCACAGAAAGAATAGTCTGTTCTAAGTTATGAATTCCTTTAATGGTACCACCTTCCTCTAAATTACCAGCACCTTTTACTTGATGACTTCCATCTCCAAGTACAATGATATCTCCTGCTTCACATGTATGTAAAGTCTCTTGCAATGACCCAGAGATTCTTAACAGAAAATATTACATATTAAACAATTACTGATATTTATAATATTTATTTACTTACTTACTTGAAAAACAGTTTTGAAGGTAAAGAAGCTTGAACCTTATCTATAGTTTGCTTCATTTCTTCCAGAGTACCTCCAAGCCATACAAAATGTCCTTCCATACACTTTTCTTTACTCTCCTGCTTTTCTATTTTATCAGCAGTTAATGATGAAACTCGATTTTTTACAAGGATTTCTCTCATAGCAGGATTTTCAAGAACTTCCATTTCTCTTTTAATTTGTTGTAACCGAAAATGAAGTTTCATGAGTTGACATGCTGTTCCTCCATCTACTATGTCTATATGAGATCCTTCCTCTTCTTCAGAAATAGTATCCTCTAATCTTGATATTCTCTGTTGAATCTCTCGTCCTTCTCTCACCAAACTTCTGATAACATCACTGGTTTCCTTACTAACAACTCCTCTCTTCATGTCAAAAAATAATCTGATCCTTGTTTCCAAATGTACAGATACCCAATCAGTGTTATCATCGTCATCTATGTCCCATGGCATCCACAAATAATTATAAAAAAATCTTAATTGATCAATACAACTTGCAGTGCCCACCATATCTAGAGCAGTATTTTCTTGATTATGAGTTGGATAAAGTTCTACAAGTGGTACATCATATTTTTCAGGTAAATGAATCTCATCCTGAACAGCAGTGATTTTCACCAATGCATTTAAAGCATTAAAATCAACTTGCTCAACTACTACAACTACTATGGTAGGGTAATGAATTTGAAAATCTTCACAGACTAAGCGTGGTATCTTCCACAATGCTTGCCAACCAACAGGTTCTATTACAAGTTCTATGTGATAGGACCATTCTGCCTGAATTTGTGATGCAGGCACTATTTCACCTCTACTAGACAAGATTTCAGTTAATTCAACCAGCCTTTCTTGGAGACTCTTGTCAAAAGTGTATACCTCCATTGGTGTGGATAACCTGGAAAGCAAATAAGTTCTCTAAAATAAATTCCATTAGATATTACAACTTTCTACAGCCTTACCTACCAATGACAAATCTCTTTTACAAATTTATAGAAAAAACTGGCTCACAGAATAACTTATATACACAGAAATTTTGAATGAAAACTTTTAACAAATTTGTAAATGAGCAATATTCTAAGTTTAACGATTTAATACTAAAAACTGGCAGCTACACAGGGCAATGGAACAAAACAACAGAAGACAATTACCCGCCTTTTTATCGAATCCGATATGAATATTAATCGAGGTTCGCACTATAAGTTCAAATACGCTTAATATGTAAAGTAAAACAATATTACAAGCCAATAATTATTTGAATAATCACAAATACTATTTTAATTAATTTTATACGGTACGTCAGGTAAAACTGCCAAAAGAAATTCGAAACACACATGAACGTGATTGGTCGATCAATTTCAATTCGATTCTCGTTTGAGAACACACCTTTCTTCATTCCAGTTGAACAGATTGCAAAGAAATTGGAGGGACGTATTCAGGAGGCCCTAAAGAATGGTACTCTGGTCCTGATTTTATCCAAATCATCAAAAAGTTATAAAATATTGAAAGTGGTTTCTATCCACGGTCAAGAAAATGGCGGATCGGACTGAAAACATTTTTGCGAACCGTATGTCCAAATAGAGACCAGAGCGCCATTCTTTGGGTTAGATAGAGCAAAACAAGCACTTAGGGGATGGTGTAAGTACAAGTTTACATTTAGAAAAATAGTGAGAACTATGATTTTGTTGATTTTTCACTCGCGAAAGACGTCAAAAAGGTAAAACAGACCACAAATTTAGTTTCTCGTTTTTTCTGTAGGGCGCAGTTCATTCGTTTAGTACGCTCGACAGCGCATCATTCGCAGTTCGTGTATGTGATTAAATGGTGTATTAGGTATAAAAAATAGAAGAAACAGAAGACAAAGTTGAAGAGAAGACCGGAAACATGACTTCTGACATCATTTCCATATCGCCTTCAGAAATGCGTAAGCTGAAAATTTATACCCTATTTTGTCGATACAGATACGAATTAAAATAACATATTTCTCATTTATTCTGGTTTTATGGTCATAATTTATTTAATACCATTTAATATCTTATGTATTTTTCTACCTTTTTTCTTATTTCGGTGCTTTAAAGTGAAAAAAGTAATCTTGACCTTATTTCAATATGGCGTTGATAATTTTCAACGAATCTTTCTGTTCTTTTAATGTTAAAGTGTCAAAGTAATTCGAAGTTTCTACCAATGCCTGTGATTGGTCGTTCCATTATGGCGTCCTCCTATTTAGACCAATCAGATTCATCGTTGAAGAAGTCGAAGCATGGTGCATGGTGGAGTGCAACAGTCCTCTTCGAAGGTTAGTCGTTAACAAATTTAACTTCAATTCCTTTGGAAAATAAATCATTTTAGAAAAGTAATAAATTAATTAAAGAATCGAAGAGTACTTGTAACTGTTATTATTGTATAACGTTCAATAAATATTTGATAAAATTCAAATTTATATTAAAACACAATAATCACTTCTTAATATTGTATAAAAATTAAATAATTCAAACAAATTTACTGGATATCCGTGTATTAAAGTTATAAAAATAATAAATTTCAATAGATATAACAATAATTTAATTAACAAACAATTGTAAAGTTATAAATAATAATTAAATAAATTTGAATAGAATAACCAACAAAATTTTGCAATATACCCACGCGAAAATTAAAGAAATAAACAATTTAAATAGATATAACAATAATTTGATTAATAAATAATTGTAAAATATAAAATAATAATTAAACAAATATTAACAAATATCAGATAGTAATAGTTAAATGTAAGCAGCCGCGGAACCAGTGAAGCGGAACGTCATGCTTGACTGGGCACGTCGCGCGCCGGTACAACGGCGACCTGGAGGAAGGTCAAATCTAGTCAGTCTTATCGCGACCGCCGAAGGATACGGATGGAGCTGCCAAACATATACCGGTACGGGTTGACACTATGGATATTCGTGCATGGATTTATCAGTGTGTTACCACAAGTGTTTCTATGTGTGCCTATAGTGTTTCCTATAGTGTTTCCCATGTGTTTTGGAATATTTATACGGATATATTAGTGCGTCTTATGGTGTGGTCACCCATGTGTTCTGACATTTTTATACAAGTGCATTAGTGTGCTGTGTGGTGTGGTACCCCATGTACCTGCATGTGCTTTATTGTGTTTTATGGTGTGGTTTCCTTTGTGCATTGGCATATATTTACGGATTTATTAGTGGGTTTTATGGAGTGGTACCCTATGTGTTTTGGCATATTTATACGGATTTATTAGTGGGTTTTATGGAGTAGTACCCTATGTGTTTTAGTATATTTATACGAATTTATTAGTAGGCTTTATGGAGTGGTACCTTATGTGTTTTGCTACAATTTTGCAAATATTTTATGGTGTTCTATGGTTTTGATCTTCATGTGTTTTAGGATGTATTTATTTGCATGTGTTTTACCGTATTTTATGATGTAGTTATTCCTATATAGTTTTGCATGCATATTTTTAAATTATAGTATGTATTAGCATATTAACTACAACAAATTGAGAGAAAATATATATCGTTCAAGAATCGTGATTTTTATGCTTTCAGATGAGTGATTTGGCCAGTGGGGATACCGTTTCTTTGACGAGCCATCAGACGAGCTATGGGTCAATCTAACAATAAGATGCGTGGCGAGTGCAGTGGTGCAAGTCAACGATCGGTGAGTCGCATGCTTTAAAGTTCCTCCGGTTCCCATCATGTCGTAGGACGAATGGTCCGTAGCGACACGGGAATTGGTTGTAATTTTTATTTTTTGAGCGAGCATAGTGACCCACGAATGTCACTGTATCATTTTATACAATGATAATCGTGCAAATTGCTTTTTTGTGTATTTTATGCCTTAGCTCAGGATAGGGTTTTCTTGTACATATTTACATACATAGATTTCGAGTTTAAAAATGTACAGAAGTCGGATGACCCTCCGACTTCACAATACACATTCTTTTTTATATGTACAAGAATTTATTTCGCGATGAGCGGATTTCAATATCAAAGTAATAAGCATGAATACTATTAATTATTATAACTACTTACTTTGATAACGAAATCGCTCTTGAAATTGAAACGTTTTTCCGATTTTACTCGTGAAATTGGCATCAGTTTAGTATATGGGCTGGCCCCCCAGAGGGGTCAGTATTTGCTTTTCAAGCATTGTATAAAGTTCCCCTTTCGTACTTGAAATTCATTCTGTCACGTTCACGGTTCTCGAACCTAAACACTCATCATTCATACTTCAGCCTCACGAACACTATCACATAATCATTTATCCACCCGCATACCCTTGTGTAGTGAAATATTACCCCGTCAGGATTTTCAAGTTATAGTAGTGTTGCGAAAAATTTTCAACGCGAGAATAAATATTACCCCGTTAGGATTTTCAAGTTTAAGTAGTGTTGCGAAAAATTTTCAACGCGAGGGTAAATATTACCCTGTTAGAATTTTCAAGTTTAAGTAGTGTTGCGAAAAATTTACGGCGCGAGAGCAAATATGACTATACACTGACTAGTATTCGGTGGGAATCCTTTTGGTTTTTATTTGATAAAATTAGTTACAAGGATTCCGCGGCATAAGACCGTGAACACCACCTCATGGGAGATAAAACCATGCATTACTAGGCCTTTGCAGGCACAGCCATAGAGTACGGAACATTTAAGTATGTTGCATCCCATACGCTAAGCTGTCTTAAAGTCCTTTTGCCTATACTATGGGCGTCCACCACTCGGACACGTTGGATGCAACGTGTTCGATGGGTGGGTAGCGCTCTTAGCGAAGGGGTGCACCCTGCCTGGGCCTAGAGCCTTAAACAGGCGGGGTGGGTGGTATGTAGCGTCGGGCGTAAGTCCAGGGGGCCTAAGAACCTCCGTTGCCAGCTGATATTAGCAGTGGACGAATGTTGAGTCATATTTGCTCAATTTTGGTTTTCAGTATTTTCTCTTGAAGCATAATTTAAAGCTCCCCTTTAGTCATGTTGCTAGATCAGGATTTTCTATTTTAATTAGTGTTGCGAAAAATTTCCAGCGCGAGAGTAACTATGACAATGCACTTACTAGTATTCGGTGGGAATCCTTTTGGTTTTTAAGCTCAATGTCTTATTTAATTAATTAAATTAGTTACAAGGATTCCGCGGCATAAGACCGTGAACACCATCTCTGGGAGATATACCCATGCATTACTAGGCCTTTCAAGGTGCAGTTTAGGATGTGGCGCCCATCCATAGGTTCCATTTAATAAACTGCAGTCCTTTTGTCTATACTATGGGCGTCCGTCAATCTGACACGTTGGATGCAACGTGTTGGACGGGCGGGTAGCGCTCTTAGCGAAGGGGTGCACCCTGTTCTAGGCGGGGTGGGTGGTATGTAGCGTCGGGCGTAAGTCCAGGGGGCCCGAAAACCTCCGTTGCCAGCCGATATTAGAAGTGCACCATTTTTGCGTCATAGTTGCTCTATTTTGCTTTTCAGTATTTGCTCTTCAAGCATTGTAGAAAGCTCTTCGTTCGTACTTCAAATTCATTCTGTCACGTTCACGGTTCTCGACCCTAAACACTCATCATTCGCACTTCAGCCTCACGAACTCTATCACATAATCATTTATCCACCCGCATACCCTTGTGTAGTGAAATATTACCCCGTTAGGATTTTCAAGTTAAAGTAGTGTTGCGAAAAATTTTCAACGCGAGAGTAAATATTACCCCGTTACGATTTTCATGTTTAAGTAGTGTTGCGAAAAATTTTAAACGAGAGAGTAAATGTTACCCCGTTAGAATTTTCAAGTTTAAGTAGTGTTGCGAAAAATTTTCAACGCGAGGGTAAATATTACCCTGTTAGAATTTTCAAGTTTAAGTAGTGTTGCGAAAAATTTCCGGCGCGAGAGTAAATATGACTATACACTGACTAGTATTCGGTGGGAATCCTTTTGGTTTTTATTTGATAAAATTAGTTACAAGGATTCCGCGGCATAAGACCGTGAACACCACCTCATGGGAGATAAAACCATGCATTACTAGGCCTTTGCAGGCACAGCCATAGAGTACGGAACATTTAAGTATGTTGCATCCCATACGCTAAGCTGTCTTAAAGTCCTTTTGCCTATACTATGGGCGTCCACCACTCGGACTCGTTGGATGCAACGTGTTCGATGGGTGGGTAGCGCTCTTAGCGAAGGGGTGCACCCTGCCTGGGCCTAGAGCCTTAAACAGGCGGGGTGGGTGGTATGTAGCGTCGGGCGCTAGTCCAGGGGGCCTAAGAACCTCCGTTGCCAGCTGATATTAGCAGTGGACGAATGTTGGGTCATATTTGCTCAATTTTGCTTTTCAGTATTTGCTCTTCAAGCATAATTTAAAGCTCCCCTTTAGTCATGTTGCTAGATCAGGATTTTCTATTTTAATTAGTGTTGCGAAAAATTTCCAGCGCGAGAGTAACTATGACGATGCACTTACTAGTATTCGGTGGGAATCCTTTTGGTTTTTGAACTCAATGTTTTATTTAATTAATCAAGTTAGTTACAAGGATTCCGCGGCATAAGACCGTGAACACCATCTCATGGGAGATAAAACCATGCATTACTAGGCCTTTCAAGGCGCAGTTTAGAATGTGGCGCACATCCATATGTTCCATTTAATAAACTGCAGTCCTTTTTGCCTATACTATGGGCGTCCGTCAATCTGACACGTTGGATGCAACGTGTTGGACGGGCGGGTAGCGCTCTTAGCGAAGGGGTGCATCCTTTCCTAGGCGGGGTGGGTGGTATGTAGCGTCGGGCGTAAGTCCAGGGGGCCCGAAAACCTCCGTTGCCAGCCGATATTAGAAGTGCACCATTTTTGCGTCATAGTTGCTCTATTCTGCTTTTCAGTATTTGCTCTTCAAGCATTGTAGAAAGCTCTTCGTTCGTACTTCAAATTCATCCTGTCACGTTCACGGTTCTCGACCCTAAACACTCATCATTCATCAGTATAGTGAAATTTTAGCTCGTTAGATGTTTATGTACTAGTCATGCTTTTAGATCAGGATTTTCCATTTTAATTAGTGTTGCGAAAAATTCCCACTCGAGAGTAAATATGACAATGCACTGACTAGTATTTGGTGGGAATCCTTTTGGTTCTTAAACTCAATCCAATATTTTATTTATTTAATCAAATTAGTTACAAGGATTCCGCGGCATAAGACCGTGAAACACCATCTCATGGGAGATAAACCCATGCATTACTAGGCCTTTGCAGGCGCAGCTTTAGAATACGGAACATATGAAAATATGTTACCATATTCTAAACTGTAGTCCTTTTGTCTATACTATGGGCGTCCGTCAATCTGACACGTTGGATGCAACGTGTTGGACGGGCGGGTAGCGCTCTTAGCGAAGGGGTGCATCCTGTCCTGGCGTTACGACGTCCAGGCGGGGTGGGTGGTATGTAGCGTCGGGCGCAAGTCCAGGGGGCCTAAGAACCTCCGTTGCCAACTGATATTAGCAGTGCACCATGTTTTATGTCATAGTTGCTCAATTTTGCTTTTCTACATTTGCTCTTCAAGCTTTATATTTGCAAAGTCGAGTCACTTTTATTAAAAATAAAACCCCCTGGGGGGGCCAGCCCATATACTAAATCGGTGCCGTGAAATTTCGCCGATATTCTTACTTTTAATAAAGTGAGAATATCTTCTTTAGTTTTTGCTAATCATACGTTTTAGCTTAGGCATTTCAGCACACATGAAGAAAACTGGTAGGTGAAAATACCTTTGGCCTTGTTCATTTTTATGCCCAAAGCTCATTCGGGTACTTAGATGTACTCGCGTGGGTGGAGGGCGGTGGACAAGGTTTAGTTTTAAGTGTACATTTTGGCGATTGACAAAAGTAGTGAACCAATAGTGAACCACGATAGAAGTTCCACATGTGTGTGTGTGGTTAGGATGTGGGATTTGTATCGTTTATTAACAACCTTAACTTACTATAACATTACAAAATACTTATCAAGAATAAATTGAAAAATTTTTACATTAGATAATTCAATAGAATACGAAAATGAAATGTATTACTTTAGCATAATGTTCACTATTATTTGTCAGTCGATTTCAGCAAAAAGGTATGATTTTATTAGAGTGTGAAAGTTGAATTGAACTCGGGTGTCGGAGGCGTCCCGGGACGTTCTCCCTAGGTGTAGGCATTTTTGCACCCGGGTGGTTGTATGAGAACCGTGGAGTGAATTTTTGTGAGAATGATTTTTGCCCTTTTTTAAATATAGCAATAGGCAGGCAGGTAGTTTACTTCTGGTGTGATTGAGTTTAGTTTATAAGTAGGCAGGGCCAGAGCAAGCTTTCATGTTTCTCTTCGTATTCTCCTCTAATACGTGAGAAGCTTGTATCTGGGGTTGGAAATTAAAAAATCGAGAGGAAAAATGAAAATGTAAATTAATTAGTTGATTAATTAATTAATTTAGCATTCTCTCTTGATTTTTTCAAGGCCAAGCCTTATTAGTTTGTAAGTCGTAGTCGTGGTACTAGACCCGATTACAAAAATGAAGTATTAAAGTGAAAGTGCAGTGAAGTGAAATTAAAAAGTGTCTTGTGCTTGGACATTTGCAAAAATTGTGCAGGTATGCGAGTAGCGATTCAAGGGATCGTTGCTCGTTTACATGTTACGTTTTTACAAATGACTGAGCAAACGTAAAATTTTCGCGAGTGATTTTTGTGAGGCTATTGCCGAAGAAAGAAGAGGCTATATGCTGAAGAGCCCCGGCAAAATTTGCCCAGAAGAGGGGAACTACTAATGGCTCTCCATCTTCGGATGGACAGTCATTCTGTCACTATGCTCGCTAATTTGTTTTTTCATTTTTTGTTTTTTTTTGTATGTGCCTTCTGCACATACTTTTTTTCCTTGAACGGTATGAATAATACCGTCCAGAATGTATTGAACTCGAAATTTTACGAGTTTAATACCAAGCTCGTTGAATTACCAAATCGCGATTTTATTTCCCCTATTTCTTTTTGGTTTATTACTTTATTGCAATAAATTATTCTTTCCTTATTGATTTGCACATCAATTATATTTCGTGTTCTCATTTTAAATAGGTTCAATTTATTTAAAACATAGTCTGGGTGAGTTCTCATTTTATTAAATATCTCTGAGATTGTGATGTTAATTATACTTTCTATTTCAGCATTTTATTGTTGAATTGTTATTTTGTTTATTGTTACTGAAATTATGATATTAATTATATTTTCTATTTCAGCATTTTATTGTTGAATTGTTATTTTGTTTATTGTTACTGAAATTATGATATTAATTATATTTTCTATTTCAGCGTTTTATTGTTGAAAGTTTTATTTTATGTTGTCTGTTTTGGGGGGTTTTATAGTTTTAGGGGGATTACTATTTTATTTCAGGAAATTATTTTTTTCTTATCAATTTCAGATGTACATCATATCTCAAGTTTTCGTATCACATATTCGTATTCTCGTTTCATTTATTAAATATAATATTTCTGAGAGTGCAAGGGTAATTATATTTTCTGTTCTCGGTTTGTACCATTTCAATGGTACTCGAAATTATGATATTAATTGTATTTTCTATTTCAGCATTTTATTGTTGAATTGTTATTTTGTTTATTGTTACTGAAATTATGATATTAATTATATTTTCTATTTCAGCATTTTATTGTTGGATTGTTATTTTCTTTATTGTTACTGAAATTATGATATTAATTATATTTTCTATTTCAGCATTTTATTGTTGAAAGTTTTATTTTATATTGTCTGTTTTGGGGGGTTTTATAGTTTTAGGGGGATTACTATTTTATTTCAGGAAATTATTCTTTTCTTATCGATTTCAGATGTACATCATATCTCATGTTTTCGTATCACATATTCGTATTCTCGTTTCATTTATTAAATATTTCTGAGAGTGCAAGGGTAATTATATTTTCTCTTCTCGGTTTGTACCATTTCAATGGTACTCGAAATTATGATATTAATTGTATTTTCTATTTCAGCATTTTATTGTTTAAATTTTATTCTTTTAGGTGGGTCACTATCGTAGCCACCTCCACGTGGTGTGACCTGGTAATCGATATCGTTTTCTAAACATTTATCAGACGATAATTTTTAGAAAACGATATCGAGCTGAGAGCTACGATTCGATTAACATAAAGTAGTAAAATCAATTTTTCGAGCGAACACGCTATTTTTTTATTCTGATTTTTTTCTTCGGATGGATCCATCGATCATTTAGACCCGATGTAGATTCCAAGATTATCGTTCTTAGTAAAATTCAGTTCTAGTAGTATCAGCCACCTACTGCTAGATGGCTGAGCATTTCAATGTCTTGTAACCACCCCTATTTCACACCCCATTGAATGGGCTGTTTTACCGATGCGGAATTTGTTATTCGGCCTCGACGCTTGCATTGCCTTAATTTATTTACTATGTCTGGAGAAATGACGGGTTTGTTTATGACAAATAGTTAGTTACACGTTTCTTTTTCAAATGCAACAACTCGTTCATGTATTTCTGTTAATAATTAATAATAAGTTTTTAATAAATGTATTCACATTGTTTAACAGATACAGATATTTTAATAAGTGACGAAAATGCAGAGCAAAATTCTAAAAACGCGGAAGACAATTTTTTCGATGAAATTATTGGACACATAGAAGATATTTTGTTAGGTATTCATTAAAAATAACATTTGAAACTTGTATTATTTAAAAAAGTCTCCGTTTTCAGAAGATGAATTTCACGCTATTCAAAATAAGTTTTTGGATAGATATTGGGACGTTTTTGAACCTATAGAAGAAAATAAACTAATTTATACTGATATATTTAATGAATATGTAAGTAGTATAGTAATTTGAAGTTTCATGTGTTGATTGTTAATTCCTACTTATTTTAGAATAATGCTGTGGAAAGTTATATAGTGAATTATTTACAAAAGGTTATACCACATTTTAATATAAACACATTATTACAATATTTAAAGTAAGCATTATAATTTGTATAAAAATCATACTCATTGTTTTATTCTTCTTTTAAATGATTATTAAATGATTCAATAACAGGCAACAAAAATTGGATGGTGAAGTATTTGAAGTACTGTCAACATTCACAGACTTTGTAGCCTTTAAAGAAATGTTTCTTGATTATAGAGCTGTAAGCATTATTGATCTAGGGCCATGCAATGAAAGTATATATGCATAATAATATAATTTTACTTTTAGGTAAAGGAAGGAAAAGTTCAGGATCTAAGCTCTGGAATATCTGTTACATCTCTGAAAACATATAAAGTGAATGATCATTCTTTGAGATAAGAAACTTTACAGATCAAGAAAATATGGTTTCTAATACATGAAAAATAAATTAATATACGTGTAATGATCCTATCATGTTCAACCATGATTCCTAAAACAAAGTACATTTATTCTGCTTACAATCCTTTTCATTGCTTAACTTACAGTAGTATAAAAAATATATACACGCCATTGCTAATGCTTTAAGAATTGGGAAACTATAGCACTGATTTTGTTTTTTCTGCTTCACGGAATTCAATACGAATGTAATCAGAATAAAATGAGGAATACTACGTATCTGCTGTTCAGCACATTAGGATCTCCATCTGTACAAGTTTACTGTTTGTTTCATTCGGCATGCGATATGGAAGCGTGCCTGCGAAACTAGTTAATGCTCTCGCTTGTTCCCTAAGATCAAGAAGCTGTTGCCTTCTCGCTTCTTCGTCACCTGGTTCCACTGATCGTAACTTTTGGTACTGACGATAAAGTATCGTCATTGTTGCTAAAAGAACATCCGCTAACGTGCCAGCCACTTCAGGCGATACACGTCTTAAAGCATTTACACGTTCATCAACTTCTTTCACGTGTAACGGTAACAATTTTAATTCCGCGATAGTCTGAAAATAAATCGGCATTATATAGATACAAGAAAAGTTTCAACGCAAATAGAACAATTCTGTTTCTTACCCTAAGAGCACTCTGATATTGCTCATTATGAAACTGGTCGAAGAATACCATTAGATGCCTCAAAGTATAGAAGGCGGATACTAATTCAGCTGATGCTTGTATCTCGATATTTTTATACCTGAAAATAAATATTTTTACACGTGTAGCACTTACTGATAATAACAGCAATTCTTTTATATTACCTGTTACTTATGTCGGTAGCAGTTACTTGTAAACGATCTCTTAAAGTCCCTGGTGAAGCTTTTTGACTAACAACTTGGGCCAAAAGTGTGCACATTAAACTAAGAACTTTCTCGTGATTGCCAGCAAGATCATACATTGTTACCGCGTCTTCTAATAAGCCTTTCCTATATAATGTATCAGCACTTATATTAAGAACATCCTGTGTATCAATTTGGAATTGATGTAGTATTCTAGAATTCACTAATTGAATTCTATTTGCTGGCGAAGTATCAACAACCATTTCTGCGGCTGATGCAGCAAACATGTTACGATCATACGGATCCTTCATGCATCTAAAAACGTAAAATGATGCATTCCAATTCAAAACATATAAAATTGGGTTTGTTTCCATTATACAAACCTCAGTAAGAATAGATAATGTAAGCATTCTTTTGGATCTGTAGAATCGAATCTCTTCACATACAACAATATCAACCTAGCAAAATTCAATCTTTTTGCAGGTGGTTTGTCAGCAGGATCTACACTTATTAAAGGTGCTAACGCACTCTGACTGACTCCTAATAAGTTGTGTTCATGCATAGCAGCTGCTAGATGCACTGCATGTGGCAGATGCCTTGCACCTGCACCTCTGGCCAAAAATTCAATTGCAGCTTCAAACTGACCGGTTAAAAATAACATGGAGAAGTATACAAATGGTTGTTCATGAGCATGGTAATACGATTCTCCTGCAATATTTGAATAATCAATAAATTTTATTAAAATTGTTTATCACGAAAATACATGATATGTAAGGTAGATATTTATACCGTATATTTCCGAAATTGTAGTTTGCAGATAATCCAAAGTCAACTTGTTCTCTGCATCTGGTTGATCTCTAACTTGACACAATTTTAACCACAAATAATCATCAGCTGTGCAAATTACATCAGAATGCAAGTCATCAGGTTCACAAGGAACCAGTGCACAATAGGCTACTCTCTTATATGGATCAGTAACTGATCTAACATGCTTTCTATAATGAAGTTTCAAATTTGATTCTGCATAACTGCTAGGGTGCCTTTGGGGATCATTGCATGCTTCTTCTAAAGCAATTTTAAACTCTGAAAATTCTGTGTTGCACTGATTAAGGCATTGAAGGGCTGCTTTATAGTCTCCAACTCTCATACAATAATAGACTAAAGGCCATAATGGTTTACCCTCGACCATAACATCTTCTAGATCTCTCAGATTTTGTACTTTAACGCTTACAAAGCTTTTAACTAATGGTACAGTGCCTGGAATACCACCCCTCTTGGCTTGTGCTAAATTTTCACTAATAACAGATGTCATAAATTCTCTATATCTATTTTCCAAATATTTTCTGGCTTGTAAAACGATCTTTTTCTCAACAATAGGAGTACTTCTGGATTTGATTTGATCCTCTCTAGGAATTGGTGGAATATCCACCATGTATTTAACCATATGCCACATGTCAAGAACCTTTTTGTCTTCAAATGACTCTGCAGCCTTACAAAATGCATCAAACAAATTTGGTCTAGTTATTCCTCTGAGCACATGATCATTATAGTTTTGTAATTCTTTAACATAAGCTACTTCTACACTGGATAAACCACTAATCATGGATCCAGCTAATTTAGTACGTTGTGGGATACCACGTAAATCTACTAGCTCTCCAGATGGAGCAGTCATAGCATTTATTATCTCAAAACGCATTTGCTTCCATTCACCCAACATATGTTCCATTTGTTGAACCCTAGTGAGTTCAAAAGTCTGAAACATAAAATCATCAACTTAACATACAACACCTTATAATATTTATTATACTAAAAACATAATATGTCTTACATCCTTGTGAACTTGTTCAATAATAGACAAAATAGCATTTTCTTTTTCATTTCTCAGATAGCTAACTATATCTGTATCTGCAATAGGATCTAAAGGTTCAAATGTGCGTCTTGCACTAAGTGAACTTAATTTTTGTGATATCTGGGGTAAATCAACACCACGGGAACCAAGCAACAGATGCCTGAAATGACAATAATACTATATTATTATAAACAATTTAATCAACCAAAAGAAATTTTGGCGCCAGAAATTTGTGTAACACACAGGTCAGGTGATAGTTTACTCAAAGCATACTTCTATACAACTTAATAAATTTCATATAAGCAATATAAATTTTAGAAATCTTTCTCCAAGTTTTAGATGCAACGGATATGAAAATTTCCTTACGCTTGAACTTGACTATCCTGAGTACCGGTCTGGGTGACACGAGACCAGAGTTCATTAGAAGCGTCTAATATCTGACGAAGGTTTCTTTCAACTTGAGGAAGTTCTTCACTACCCTCTACAGCAGCAGACAATTGTTCTGCTGACCGCAATAATTCGCTGAAGCCCGAATCTCCTGTCACTCGTGAATGATCTGTATTCGACATATCGATGGAACCAAGATCGTTCATATTTAAAACAAAACGTGTTCACGGACCTTGTAAATTGTGAGCAACGACTACAGATTCAAAAAGACCGAACATGCTTTTGTTGGGTTATGATTTTGGGATCCTAGGTACCCCTAGGTGAATGTTGTATAACTAAACTGATAAAAGAATTTAAGTCAATTAAATAAATAATTGAGAGAAGAATTTACGGGTATTAAATAAATAACTCAGAAATGAAATAGGGTAAATTAAATAATAACTCAGTTGTTTTTTTTAAATGATTTATTTACCAAGGTGCATGAAGTGAATACAAGTTTGTCAAACAATTATAATAGTAATTGTTCAGTTTTGTACTATTTTTAACTGATTTCTAAAAAAAAAAATTGGGGCTGGTAATAGCGGCTGTGCTCTTTGCATGCAGACCTAACCTCATCTGGGGTATCTGGGATCCCTACATCATAACCCCTTGAAAACAGTCTTGCATCTGTGGTCACTGCTTGTATATACATTTTGTTAGCAATTAGCAATAAGGTTAAAAAAAGTTATGATAAGTTTACATCGAAGTGTGACGAGAATTTCATCCAAATGTTATGGACGAACAATGAAAAATAGAACGTTGATTCGTTTGACAAGCGGTCGGGGACATCCGACCGCGGGAATTGTCGGTAATGTTGACATATGTCTTTACTAATGTCATGCATTTGTTTCTTGGTCTCAATTCATTTTCTCATCTAACCTTAAACTTTTGGTTACGTTTAGTTATCGGAAATGAAATTTTAAAGGGCCAAGTGAAAGACACCAATTCTTTCTATGCGTCCAAGTTACTGTACGAACATGGCATTAGTGTTCAAAAGGTGATCACGTGCTTACTTGATTTACTATGCGATCCTATTTTGATACCCTTTGTTGTCAGTTCTTATTCGAATCGAGTATTTCTGCATAGATTTCCATTGTACCAGATCGCGTCGAAGATATCGTGGTGGAAATCAAGAATTTTTCAGAAAAATTTAATTACATTTTTACATCCGGCGGCATAGGACCAACTCATGACGATGTTACTTACGAAGGTAATTATAACGAAAAATACGCAAAGGTATATAAATTCGTTCAACATTAATGTTTTACAGCTGTTGCATTAGCCTTTAACGATACTTTGCACTATCATCCAGCATTAGTGAATATCGTAAAGACTTATTTAAATTCTGGAAATTTCTCTTCGCCTGGTTATAAAATGGCATATGTAAGTGATAGCTTACTGGTAATATTACAATTACTAAAAGTAATTTACCTACTGTCCATAGGTACCGACTAGATCTGTGCTGAAGTTTGGAAAAAATGAAGTTACAGGAAAATCTCTTCGTTATCCGTGTGTAATCATGGAGAAAGTTCATATCTTTCCTGGATCACCAGTGTTCTTTCAACCATCTTTTCAAGCTTTATGCAAGGTACATCTTGCAACACAACTCTTATACTTAGCAGGCTCTGAGGGAAATAATATCGTTTTTATAGGACTTATTCGTCGATTGTAATAGTTTTGCTACAACTGAAATTTACATAAACGCAAAGGAGGAATCATTCGCAGATATTTTAAGCGCAGTTGCACGAAAATGTCCGAACGTCTTGTTTGGCTCGTATCCAGAATTTAATAGGTACTAAAAACGACCAAAATGAAATAAAACGAAACGAAAGAAAATTTCAACTTGATCCTCAGGCATTACAAAGTGCGCGTGACGATGGAAAGCGAGAGCGAGGAAGATGTCGAAACAGCGAAGAAAATGTTTTGCGATCTGGTTCCGGCGAACGTATTGGTGCATTACGATTGTGCACCTCACGTTGATTGCCTGGCAAAGTACGAGAACCTACTCGGAGGGTCCCATCGTCGATCAGTTTATGAGAGTTCCTTAAAGAAATTCGTGTAATGCCTCCTCAAGTGGGAAAATGTATCGATTACAAGTATGATTAATTTAGATAAGCCGACGAATTTTTGACTCTTCTTTCCTTTTTCTTTCGTTGCAGTGATTATTATCAGAAAGCCGACGAGGTGTGGATATATTTGGACGGGAGCGAAGAATCGATCATTATGGTACATCTTGCTCGTGTCGCCGATAGTAAATTAGGAGGGTCGAAGAGAAGATTCCGTGCAATTTGCTCGAAATCGGATAAAATGAATAAATTTTTCCACGATCTCAGTGAAAGGTAAGAGTGCAATGTTATATCGAATCGACGTACGTATGTCGGAAAATCTAAGTACCAAGGATGACGTATTCGTTTGAGAACAATTCGGTGAATGTACCAGGTACAATGTTGAATTGTGTAATCTACAATGCGATGAAATCGATGCTCCCGAGGTAGTAAAAAATTGGATCGTGTCGAGAGCGGAATTGCGAATATTGCTACTCGGAAAACGTTTGAATGGCAATGAAAGAGAAATTTACGATAATCTTGCACGGTTGAACGAGAATATTTCCGTCCCTGTGCAAATACATTTTCCTCTTATCGATTGGACGAACGAAGATGTTGCGAGTTTCTTCGGTTCTCTCTCTTTACCTCATTACACGATAGAAACTCAATCAAACCGGTAAGGAAGAAAAATTTCGTCTCTTTATCCTAGTCCCACCAGGTTGGCTCGCTCGCTCCCACTCTTCTGGCTATTCCTCCCTCTCAGCCTATCGCATCTTCTCTCACCCTATTTTACCCTCTCCATCGTTCTTTTACGCATATATATATATGTGTGTGTGTGTATATCTGTGTGTTTCGTTCTTTTCTATACACAAGTGTAATCTACTTTTGTAGGTAAAAGATGAAAATCAAAGCGAGGTAATAACACGAAAAGCGTGTTGCTACGTTGGTGAAATTGAAATCGAGACGAGATCTTAATTCGAAGCGGATTTTCTAACGATATATTAGTAAATGGTTAAGGTGGGGGCCTTTTCCCAACAGCGAGAAGTATAAAAAAAAAAATTAATGAATAAAAGGATATTATTGAAAATTGAAATCGTTTTAAAAATCTTTGTTTTAGTTGGATATTTTCTTATCATTCGTGCTCGTTAACAGGCACGAGTTGATGGTATTAATCTATTCGTGTGTCTTCAAGAATTGTTGTTTAAAAATTATTAAGGGTGTGGGTGGGGTCAGATTTGTCAGAGTCGGTCAGTCGGGGTGGAAAGGAATAAGGAGGGTCGACCGAAAGGAAGGAAGTAAAATCGCAGAGAAGAAGCATTGTCAGTCCTTTCCATCCTTTTGAAATTTCATTTCGAGTTAAAGTATTTCTAGCTTTTTTTCTTTTGAAAGTTTGAAATGAGAGTGGGTGGTAGTTGGCCGGGGATGGGTGGTTAGCAGGGCGGTAGGTTGGCGAAGTAGATGTATGTATATACATATATACATAAAGAGAGAGAAGGAGAGCGCATAGTAAGAAGGGGAAGGAGTGGGTACTAGTAAAGCAACGCCCATGGTTCCGCGTTTCACGGGCCGCATTCCGCGGATCGCTCACCACTTTGCTAGCTGTATGGAAAATTTTAAAAGCCGAGGATATTTCTTGTACCTATGTTTTATTATCTTGAATCTACCCAGACATCGAACATGTTGCATTATTAATACTTTCATTGTTCCAGTTTCGCTGATTCTATTTTTTTTAAACGAACGCATAGGGATCGAGAAAGAAATCTGTTGCGAGTAGAGATTTAGAATGATATAAAGAAGATAAGAGGATTTGACACTAGTGAATACGAAGGGGTAAGAAAGGGTAGAGAGGTGCGAAAGATCGCGTCGAGAAGGAGGCGAATGACAGGTTGGTTGTCGCGTAATCGTAGATAAAGTTGGCGAAGATGAGGAGGACGGTGGCGGTGGCTGCGGTGGCGAGGATGGCGGCGGCCTAGACCGACGGAGCGTGGTCGATGGCAGTGGTCGCGTGCTGGTCGCGTGCCGGAGGCGGAGCTAAGCTTCGACTCTCTCGTGTGCCACCTCCACCCTAAAGTTCGTGGTCCCTGTTGCACCCTCCAACACCCTCCCGGAACGGCACGGAGCTCTTCTATCCGACACGACGCCCCTCGGTACTCTTTGCTTCCTCGCGTCTCCCCTTCTCTCCTCCTGCTTCCCGAATCTACAGCCGCTTCCTCGTTGGTTATTGATTCCCTCGGGTAGCTAGTCCCGAAAAGGGTGCTAAAATAGGATGAGGACGATCGAAGGAACGAAAGCGAGAAGATGTGTTAGAGGGAGAGAGAACGGTTTTGGCCGAAGGGAACGGTGAATTATTCGAAGATACACAGGGACACTTTGAAACGAGAACGCACCATCATTTGTTTCCTATTTGTATGCGATCGTACCATTTCAACGATTCGAGTATCGAGTTCCTTTCTGGGTTAGGATAATCGGTTACTTCATAGTTTATAGGGGGTATGTATAGGGCAATCACGACACGTACACCGTTTATACTGTTCTTAAAAATAATTGAAAAATTCACGACTTACTTACCGATCCTGTCGACGATTTCTCGGCTTCTGCACGATGCAATTAATGCAATTTTCGCGACCGCGTGCAACAATGTAATCTCGTAAGATTACGATCGCGAAAGATAAATGGTAAAGGTAAAAAACAGAAGGCGCGGTAATTGTAGATGCAAAGAAGAAATTCTGCACTCTCGATGGAAGGGGTGACGTGTGACGGTTCATTATTGTTTCCATTCCGCGTGCAAAAATAACGTGGATAGGATTATCGAGTGAGCGTAAGATGCAATTAACGAAGCTTCCGAAGACATCGACTTATTAAATTTCCTTGATTTACCCGCGACATTATCCGTCCTTCAAAGTTCTTGTTTGCGCAAACTTGTATCGAGAGCAACCCTCTCGAATCTCGAAATTGCAAACTCCACCGCCCGTCCACCATTCGCCCCCTTTCGATCATCCCTCTTCCTCGCGCTTCCAGCATCCCCTTCGTCTTTTCCTTTGCTATCTTCGCTTTGTCGTATCGATGTAACGATCAATTTCTTTTTCCTCCCTTAAAATCGCAGGTACGGTTTAACCGGCCGTTCGCGGCGGTGCCTATGTCCGTCCGCGTTCATCCAATTCGTTTCATCGATTTTATTGCTCCATCGTTTTCCTTCCGGTTCGCGTGCTTTTTATCTCGCGTCTCGTTCGTTGCCGTTCGGAGACGTAGTTCCGCGCGATTCAACGGCATAACCTATTTTACTTTCGAAAACTCGACGGATCAATACTAACGGGTATGCGACGAAGACGAGCGAGCAGACGGAGAGAATTGCGCAAAAGGAACAACGAACGCGAACGACAGGCTCGTTGGCGCGTGTAATTCTCTGTCTGGTCAGCTTAGGATCGATGAGAAATCAATCGGTCGTGCGGGTGTGCGTAAAGGGGAACGCGTGTATGCATTCTTCTCGTTGAATATCAGGAGGATCGCGTGGTCGGTCCGATCGAGCGGAATCGATAAGAGATCGAGTAGCCTGGCTTGCTGCAGGAGGGACGTACAGTGGCGGATGGTAGCGCGGACCATGGAGAGAACCGGTCGAGTACCGCGTTGGTACCGTACACGACATATAAATACCGGCGATCGAATCTTTGAAAAGAGTTTCAGGTTGCGGCACGAGACCGTCAGCTGGTCAGCAGAGCCCGCTCACCTGTTTTTTCCCCCCTTTGTTCTCGGAGGATTTCTCTTCTCGCGTTTTCAACCGTTCCTCCTTCGGCGTTCGTTGGCTCCTCGAGATACGTATCGAGCTAAACGCCGTTCTGTTCAATTTACGCGCCTCTGTACGTATAAAAATAATCCCGATACGTTACGAGATCGAAGAAAAGATTTTCCATTCAGCTTTCCTACGGGATAAAAGGCGAGCGTTTATCGACTCCGCTGTACGAATCGCGAAACCGCGCGTTAATCGCGCCAATCTCTTTACGTTCGACCGGTCGACCGAAAACAAATTCTTTGTAGATTGTGCAGCATCGATATTGCTCAGGGTAACAATGTAAAATCTCTTTTACGAGATTAAACGACGCTCGATTTAATCGTACAGTTCGTTTCATCGAACGCTTGGATGAAGCGCGTCACCGAGTGCCGCGTCCGCGTCGCGACGGGCGTATATCTACCGGCATACTAGTTTGCTTGACCGCGTAATAGTCGTGGAACAGGATCGTCCCCCTTTATCCGCTTGCTTCTCGGAAAATTCGCGTTCGTTTTCGCCCAGCTGCGAGCCTGTCCCTTCCGTTTCGCTTGGGGTAGTTCTCGCTGTCCGATCATCGATATTGGTACAGTCTCGTTGGCTCGATGATTTTGTTACGCGGTTGCGTAACTGGCCCAATGAACCAGCGTCTCTCTTCGTGTCATTCCGTAGGTCGAACGGCGAGTTTCCCTCGATGACCGGGCGGTCGTGTTGAAAAATCCATTTCGTTTTAACTTTCCGTTGAAATTGAATGTTTTGTAGCTGTATGCCGACTCGGCTGAAAGGTAGCTGCCAGAAATAGCGGGTAGACGGGGACGGGCAAGGGAAACGAAGGAGGGTGAGTTTAGCAGAGGCGAGGGCCGAGGACTCGGCGAGAAGGGGGGAGGGAATATTATGTTGAAGGAAGGGATGAAAATCGGTGGAGGAGAGAGGATGCGCGAGATGTTGGCGAAGGGTAGGTCTGGGTTCGAGGGACAGGGTTCTACGCAGCACGGAATACGAAATACGGCGAACGAAGAGCAATGTGGAAAGGCGAAAGAGAGGAGGAGAATGGAGAGGAAGGTGGACGGTCGTATACTTACCAGTCGCTTCCCTAAATCACGTTTATCAGAGACGAATGGGGAACGGGTGCGACGCGTTATAGAATAAGGTGCGGCCGAACGGCGGAAGGAAAGGAACCGGCCGATGGACGACGATGCGAGAGGAACGCGATGGGGGCGTCCAGGAGGGAATAAAAAAAGGGAGAAAGAGATTCGGGGTGAGGAAGGACGCGGCTAGGGTGTAGGGTCTGGTAAAGAGAGACGGAGAGTAGAATGCAGGGAAGGGCAGGGGGGTGCACCGAGCAAGCAAGTTGATAAGTTGTCGAGCAGCGGAGGCGCGAGTCGCGAGGTGCGATACGCGAGGCAAGAGGCAAGAGGCACGAGGACGAGTATGAGAACGGTGAAGAAGGGAAAGAAGGGAGAGGAAGCAGGAGGAACACGCGGATATTGATTCCCGTGGGATATGCGCGCGCCCGACGAGACTCGGAAATCTAAACGTATGTACGATGTGCTTTGGCGGACGTACAGAGAAGAGTATACGCGTCCCGCGGTACGCGGACCCCGTGCCTCGATACACGTCGCGGAAAGGGAACGAAAGGCACAGCGTACCTCTTCGAGGTTCGAACTACGAATCTTTGGGGAAGGTAAAAGACGCGGACCGCGGGAATCGTTCCGACAGGCAACAGAATCAATTAAATCTCTGGCTAGACCACAACTATCACGCATATGAATTCTAATTAGAGAAAACAGTAGGCTGTATGATCAATTTGCAAGGCTTACGATTCGATTGACTTCTTCGATAAGGAAAACATAGAGAGAGAGAGAGAGAGAGAAGGGTGGGTGAATTAACTAACAATAAGCTCTCTTTAATAATCTCTTTAATTATGGGTCGTTTGAATGGTACACAAAGACGATGATAAAAACGTTAGAAGGATATTCCGGAAGGTCCGAAATATAAGCTCTTGATAACGCGCAAAGCAGTTTTAATTTTTCTTTTGACGATCGATCATGTGTGTCGTGCATACAGATACACAAAGCGCACGTAAGCTGGTTGGGTTCGGATGTCTGCGCGACGCGACGTTGTGCGTCCCGTCGCGATAAAGGTTGAACGGGGTGGCATTGCTGCGGGACCGATGTGCCAACGACTAGATTCCTTCTCGCCGATATATCCCCCTTTACCACCACAAACTGCCAACTCTGTCGGCGTAATCGCTACCACTATCTGTCGCTACCTGCCATTACCTACCACTACCTATCGACGCCACTTATCCGTAGCGTCGTTGCCACGGTTCACGCCACCTCCGAGACCCACGGCCGACTTTCATGAATGAAACCCACGTGCGATCCACGTGACCGTTCGCATCGAACCCGTAATTTCTAGCTTTCGGCCTTGACCGATCCTTTCGCAGATTTGTCGTCGGATCGATTCGTTAGCAGGTCGAATAAAGTTCCTCGAACGAGGGTTACGCGTTTTAACGAGGGCATTATCGCTTCCGGTTCGTTTCCCTTCTCGTTGGTACCATCCAGTTTAGATCGATCCAGAGAAATTAGCTAAAGGACAGATCGTAACGAGTTTCCGTCGACGAGTTGTTCCTAACATCGACCGGAAGGAATCTCTTCGACGGTATTAGATAGCGAATGACGTACGCCGAATGAATTATTTACCAATTATTTTTCTTTATCGCGCAATAACGAATCGAGTCCCAGACGGATGAATAGATAAACGTAGAGAAAGGGGGAGAAAAGGATGCTCGAAGGGGATGGGCGATGGCGGAGAAGAGAAACTCGCACCGTTTCCACTACCACCACCTACCGTTTCACCTGCACCCCCCACTCTGCGAATGTTACATCCACCACCACTACCACTACCACCATCGACAGTAGGTCCAACGTTGACGGCGACGGCGGCGGAGGCGGTGGTGGCAGCAGCGGTACCACCACCGACGTCATGCTCGTCCTCGTTGCTTTCGCTCTCAGCGTGGACGTTTTCGTTGGCGTTGCTGGTACCGGTGCGCAGTCGGTGGTCGCGGCCGGTGTTAGCTGGTTAGAAGGAAATAGATTTGAGAGCGAGGCGACGCTGGTGAACGCTAAACGCGTTTCGTCCACGTGGTCCGGCATTTCAGCGGACGAAAGAGAATCCGATACTCGGTCGGTCGCGATCGTGCGCCAAGAAAAACCGACGAACGTCATCGAATGCACGCGAATTAACGTAACCGATTATCTACCCTGTTCCTTTCGACGAATTGAAATAAGAAAAGAAAGAAAGCGACGGTGTAACGGAGAGTTTTCGAGGAGTAGATCTTGTGGTTCGCTCGAACGAAGAGGGTAGGGTTGTGCTTTCTTTTTTTTTTTCCTCTCTCTCGAAAGAACCAACAGTCGCGTTTACACGCGAATATCCCTGGCACCCTGTACACTCTGGTCGTCGATGTTCTCGCGATTAATTCGATTAAGTTTCATGAAAGTGGAGTCGAAGGGACGAGCGTGCGCGCCCGCGTATTTTGACACGCAAGCGCACCTAACCGATCGATCGATCGAATCATCGATTCGGGATCGGTGGTTTAGTATCGAAAAAAAGAATCGTGCGTAGAAAGGGTGAGAGAAGGAGAGAGAGAGAGAGAGAGAGAGAGAGAAAGAGGAGTAAGGAGGCTTTCCCAGGAAAAAGGGGAAACGGAAGGGGTGGACAGGGTGGCGAGAGCAGCGAACCGACCACGACGGTAAAAGCCGCGGGACGATGAGCGACGGCATAGTCGGTGCGATCGCGATCAGTTTGTTCGGTACTGTCTCGAAACGATACCTTTTCTGTCGTTCCGACGATCGATTTTCACTGACGGAAGCCTCGTTCCAGGCAGCGAGAAGAAACGTCGGGACAGCATGGATGCCGGTTACACGATTCTTGGCAACGACGTAGACGTATGCAGAATGTTCGACCAGTTCTCTTACAAGGTCAGTCCTTTCGACCGCGATACCTTTTTCTTTTGTACTCGATCGATCTACGATCGACGATCGCGCGTAAGCCAGAAAGAATCGTCGATCGTCGAGCATGAGGGTGAATCGAGATTAAGCACGAAGCGATTCCTTCGCGGTCGTCTACCGATGCTCGTCGATCTCCGATGGATAGGAAACATTTATTTCCGTTGGGAAGGGAAAAGATCGAAACACGCGGTCGAATTCCGCTCGTATTTCGACGCGGTTCCTCCTTTGCTTGTTTCGATCCTCTTCGCGATCGAAAGAAACCGTACGACGTACCCCCAGGGGGAGCGGATACTCGTCAAAGAAGGAACGAACTCGGATTAAAATGGCATAAAAGAGCGTCCGAGCGGAGGGTGAGTACGTATCAGCCGCATTTCGCGTTTACGTGTATCCGTCGCGTTGAAACGGCAATTTCGCTCCGTGTTTGCGAGTTCGCTAAGTAAATTCGTTCTAACGAACGTTGGTAATTGAATTCGCTTATCGCGACGCGTTTGGATAAGAGCTTGCTGTTTAATGAAAACAAAATGTTTACCTCCTTCTGTTCGCCACTCGATGTTTCTATGCTTTACTCGCTGTTCCGTCTTCGCCTCCTTCCCTGGACACCCTTGCTTCTCCTCGGTCTTCCCCGTCTCAAACACCCTCGCTCTCCTGCCGACCAACCTCGTTCCAGCTTCTTCCCTCTACTTGCTACACCCTCGACCCACCCTTCCATTCCCCCCCTTTTTCTCTTGTTTCTGAATTTCTGTGCAAAAACGAAACGAATCGCGACGAGTTGCGAGTATTGCGTGGAAACGCGAATAGAAATTGAAGGAAAAAAGGAGGTGCACTTTCGTGGTTCGAATTCTTTCTGCGATTTCGACGATTTGGGTGGAGTTGAAGTCCTGGCAAAGGGATCGATCTATCGGATCGATGAGATCCGATTAAACCATCAATGATCCGAACAGTTTGTCGATAAGGACCGAGTGGGAATGATACGGGAGGACAGAGCTAAAGCCGGTGGTGAGTGCGTTTTAGCGGTAGACCGCATCGGGTAACCGGACGCGGTGGACGGGTCGGTTCGGGCCGGCTAGGTTGGCCAGCGGGCTACGAGGTAGTCGGTAGCAAAGCCACTGACAAAATCATGAGCCACTTGTTGATCGACCAATGACCATTCGAGCGAACACCGTATCGTTCAACCAGTTGGCCGTGATATTTACTCTCTTACGAATTCGCGACTTTCGATCTTTGATCAATTTAACAACGATCTTCTTCTCTCTCGATGCCCGAGTTCGTTGTCCGTATTCCTTTCTCACGTAATCGTATCGGTCGATACTCGCGGGTTCAAGCCGCGACGAACGTCCCAAGTAGAGGACCACGCGAACAATCAATTTTCACGACGAATTAATTAACGAGAATAGATACACCGGTTCCTTTCGTTCGGCTGCATTTTCTTTACGGTTTTTCGTATTCCTGTGCATCGACATCCGTGTCCCTTGTTCTTCCCGTGCCTATCTTACTCCACCTTAGCCCCTTTCACCCTACTCTTTCCAATTCGCGTTCCCGACCTCGCGAACCAGCCAACTCGCGACTACCCCCTTTCTGCCTCCCCCTTCTTTGCCTAGCCTACTCGGCGTTACCCATCTCTCCCCTCACCCTATCCACCCGCAAACTTCTCCAGCCAGCCAACCCACCCTCGCTCACTCGCTCGCTCGCGACCCCCTAGCCACCTCGAGTTTCGCTGTGCTTGCTTTCCTCCTGTTTCTCTTTCGCCTCTATCTCTCTTCACCTCGTCCCCCTTGTCTCCGTCTCTTTCTCTCTCGTTAAATCAATAAGCTATTCGGTCTACTGCCACACCAACGACGGGGCACTTTGCCCGATTTTATTTCCGATCGGATTTTACACGCGGTCGACGGGAAGAGGGAAAACAGCGAGAAGGAAAAGGTTCGCGGTGAATTACACCGTACGCGATCGTACGGGAATCGAGTGGCGAATACCGATCGGTTAAGATTTCATCGTTCCTTCGTTGGATGACGACCGATCGACGAGCAGCCGTGATGTGTAGATAACGCGAAGGAATAACGAGAATATCGAGGGGAGAAAAGAGTAGCAGGTAACCGTAGGTAGCGACTTGGTAAAGCAAGCGAATAAAGCGTAACGGAGAAGCGAGTTTGTTCGTATCCGAAAGTTTCGCTGCAAACTCGGCAGCGAGGCAGTCGAATACAATGGCCCGGCAAAAGTTTCCGCGAAACTAAACAAGTTTATTTAACTTACCTCGGCACACCGGTTCCCGTTCCCCGTTCTCTCTTCTCTCTCAGTCTTTCGGCTCTCCTGCAGTCGCATCGCCCCGTGCAATCTGCCCTGGCATACTCCCTACCCCACCTGCTTTTCTCCACCGCCTATCAAATACGCTTCTTCTTCTTCTTCTTCTTCTTCTCTTACCCACCTACCCATCTTTATCTTCTCCTTCCCTCCCCCCGTCGTCTAGTCTCATTTTCTCTCTTTGCTCTTCCGGTCTTCCTTCCCGTCTTCCTTCCCGTCTTCCGCTAGCGCCCGTTCATCCTACAGGGGCCCGCCCCTGTACCTGCAATAACGCGCAAGTTTTCCAAAAGTTTCCGCTAGATTAACGACTATTGGAATTGTTCGAGTTATGGGAAAGAAAGGGAAGCGTCTAGGAAGAACGGGCCTTCGTACCTTTCCCTCCGATCCTGGAATTTTCATCGACGATTCGAGTATTTAAAAAAAACACTGTTCCTAAGGTATAAAACGTGGATTGTTCCGAAGACAGGGATCGAAGGGAAGAGAGTTGCGGTGGTGGTAATAGAAGAGAGAAGGTCGGGGAGGTGAAGGGAAAAGGTCGCGTTCGGAGGAAAACGAAAGGAAGACTGGAGGCAGGGATGGGAGCGTAGTTTTACGTCCGCCGAGTATGTATATGCCTCGAAATGGGATACGTACATATGTTGTATATCTTCTTTATGGCAACCATTAACATATTTTTTGCCGTGCGTATTACCATACAATAGTGGCGCAAATATTACAACTTATGGTCGTAAATCAAAGCGAGGGAAAGGGGGACTCGAAAAAACGAAACGACGGGGTAGGAAGGAGAAGGAAAGCGGGAATCGCGAATAAGAATGGAAACGAGGATAGGGTAGAAAAAGAACGGACAGCCATCGAGGGAGAGAGGAAAAAGGGAGATAGAAGGATATATCAATGTGCTCGGTTATAGGAGGAACCGGCTAGAATGCTAAAAGTACTGCTTAGTAAAAGAGAGACCGGTCCTTTCGTTTCTATCGTGGACAAGATATCGAGGCCACGTTGTGACTGCGCAAGGTCGTTGACACGGTCCACGTTACCGAACAAATTCTGGATAAACGGGGTTATTCGATCGCTTAGCTGACTTAGCGTTAGGGATCGAATTTTCAATCGTTTCGTTTAGCGAAGGTAATGCTTCTGGGTAGTCTCGGTAAAAAAATATTCATCAACTACCAGATATTTTGTTTCTCGCGATAAACCCGAGGAGAATAGTACGCCCGTTTTCTCGAGCTAGTACGAGGAGGCAATATATTTTTCGTTGGTACTCCGTAATGCATTAAAACGGAAACGTCGGAGAAATTTCAGATAATGTTCAATAGTAAATTAAGATATAATAACTTTCGTGAAAGTTGTACAGCGGCGAGGAGATGGAAGAGAAGAAAAAGACGGTGGAAGTAGAGGGACGAGGAGGTAGGGAACTCCATTAACTTTTATTTCTCCGGGAAAGTAACTTTACCCTCCTCCATCTCCTCCACCTCCACGGAGCCTCCCTCTCTGTTCTCCTCGTACCATCCGCCCCCCACCTCCCGGTTTCTCCCTTCCTGTTCGTACCACCCCCGCCTGTCGACCGCCCACCACCCCTCGTCTCGTCTCGTCTCGTCCCGTCCCGTCTATTCGTTACACCTTCCTCTCATCCCCTCGTCCATCCTCCGGTGCGCTTCGTTCACCTCTGTCTCCGCCACCACCCGTTTCTCTTTCTTCGCCGTCACCATCATCCTCGTCCCTCGTTCGACCGTTTCCGACCGGTCTCGACCGTCCCGACCGCCCGACCGTTTCCCGTCCCTCTCGAACCCTCCACCTTTGCCCCCCTTCTCCATCTCGTCCCGCTTTTTCGAGAGGAGATTCCCCTCCGTTTCCTTGTTTGTAAACCCCTCTGGTGCCTCTGATTCGCCCTCCGCGGCCCGATCGCCGGTTATATAGAATCTCGCGATCCCCGCTTCTATCGTCGGTACCCCGTTACCCCCGGTACCTCGGTGCACCGGGCTGAAACTTCGTAAAGCAACTTAGTCAAACTTTAATAAATTCCTTGCCGGAGTTTCGAAGCGGTCCTACGCGAGATTGCGAATGATTACGTTTCCTCGCGGCCCACTCGACCACCGAACGGGACGAGTACCCGTACGGGTCGTTGGAAAACTCGCTACTGATCGTATACATGAAATAAAAAAGGCAAGAAAGAACAACGTTTCCGTAGAAACGGAGAAGTATCCGCGACGGTTTGTAGGTAGAAATCTCGATCGGATCGAGTCGCATCGAATCGTGTACACGCATTTCCATGGCAACGATCTCGATCAGATAGGAACCAGGAGAACGGAGAACGATCTATACGTAGATAATGTATTCGATACGTATAATATATAGCGCTCCAGATACAATATTTATGTCTCGACGTATTTCGCTAGCAGTCCATTATTCATTGCCGTAGCAGCGTATCCTATCGCGCCCATTTCGTTTCCACCGAGTATTCTATCGACGGTTGCGCGACGCGAGTACAGTCCGAGTTTCTTTAAGTCAACGATCGGGCCGACTGAGAAAATCGTACAGTTTCGAGATAGCTCGGTCAGTCTTACAATTACGAGACGATCGGTCGTGTTCCTTTCGATTCTCAACCGATTTGTCGCGATTCCTTGCAAAGAACGGATCGGCAAAGTAGCAACAACACGTTCGTATGGTTGAAGGTGAAC